TTTTTTCTTTTTTTTTCTTTTTATTTTTTTAAACTTTTACGCCCTGTTCCATCAGAATTAACATCCACTTTCCGCTGCCAAGCGCGATCGTCAATCTACACATCATCTTCTCCAGCGATCACTTATCCCACATCTTACATTCTTCGGTCTTTAATGTCCCACCTCAAGTTAACTCATGTACATCGCAAAGCTGTGAATCGTCCCTGATTCGAAGCCAGAACGCCTTTGTGTGGAGGTGGCAGCTTTGGGCGTTAAGCTCACAAGCACCTTCTTAACTTGGATTCATTTACAATGGCTTCCCCAAATGACGCGTCTATAGAAGACCTCCTGGAAGATCTTCAGCTAAACCATGTTATTTTGCAAAGCTTAGAAGAACAACGACCAAATGCCGTTGCTGAAAGGCAAGAGATTTTAGATGTTATCAAAACATTAGAAACGCGACTGGCAGAACTACGCGGTACTGCCACAAAGAGCCCGCCACATAGTCACTTTGCTCCCCACCAGGGTCCGGAAAACTCATTTTCGTATCGAGCACAGTTAGATGGAAGCTCTGGTTCTAGTCCGGTAAACTCCCCTGGGGGTTCGCGACAGGGCCAGTCGACCATGTCTCCCCCGTCGCGGCCATTTCGGTCGGTGAGGAGGCTGGCGGAGCAATCTCAACCTCTAGGGCCGTTGACCATTCGAAAGCGTGGGCGAGAAGAAGACGATGATCGTAATCATGCCCACGATGATGGCGTCGAAACAGATTGGACCGATGATCTGGAGTTACCCTTGAAACGGGTCGCAACAAAGAAGCCTTCCTCTAGCCCGAGTTCATTGTCTGTTCGTAGTCTTCAGGGGCAGGGGCAGGATGACGACTTTGACGACGGCATTGACGAACTTCGAAAAGTGCTAGGCTTGGACAGTCAGGATATACTCGAGCTCCAAGATGAACAGCGAAAAGCTGAACAATGGCTAGAGAGTCGCAAGGAACAGGAACGCCTCGACGAGGAGTATGCTCGTAGACTGGAAGGCTTGCAAGAGTCACCTCAGCCGACTTCAGCCAGAAGCACTTCATCCACTCACTATTCTGGGTCTTCTGTACTTTCCCCCCCTCCCAGGGTAAGCAACGGCACACCTTTTCCCGATGTCAATCGATCAATGCCTGGGGCCATACAGACCCCGGATATTTATCGTTCACCGTTTGTACCGCCTCCGTTGCCTGGGGCAAATCGGTCTGGGCCCCAGCGCCTCCAACCGGCCATCATGCCTGATAGTGATGATAGCGATATTGCCGAGATCTCAGCTCAGGATTTCGAGCTTCTCATCGGACCTTCCTCCAAGCGCCCTTTCGCATCGCAGCATTCCATCGGCAGTTCGCGCTACCCATTGCAGAACAGCTTTCCGCAACAGCGACCTTACTCCAACCTGTATCCTTATCTAGAGTCAATGCCTGGTCCAAGTGGTATCGGTGGATCTGGTCCTGCATACGGCCCACACGTATTGCAGAACACCATGGCAAGGCTCAGTGCTGGGAAGCAGCTGCTTGAACATGCGGGGAAGTCCATTTTCGGCGGGTTTTCTAATCCCTTCTCATCCTACGATAGCTCGGTTCCTCCCTATCCAGGTCCCACCGGCTACGATATGAGCACGTTGCCGGAGTGGATGAGTGATTACTACGGAGCTGATCCAACAAAGGTCAATGAAGAGATTAAACAACTTTTGGAGACTATTAGACCCGATTCGGATATTTCTACAGAAAACCGTGAAGGGACTCCCGAGGCTCTCAAAGTCACGTTGTTGGAGCACCAAAAGCTTGGGCTGGCATGGATGAAATCGATGGAGGAGCAGGAGCAAAAAGGTGGTATACTCGCTGATGATATGGGCCTGGGGAAGACAATACAAGCCATCGCTCTCATGGTGTCCCGACCTTCTACGGACGAGGAACGAAAACCAACTTTGATCATTGCCCCCGTCGCCCTGATGCAGCAGTGGAAGCGAGAGATCGGAAGAATCTTGAAGCCTGGCCGTCACCAACTCTCGGTCTATGTTTTGCACGGCGAAAAGCGGGCTGTGGGCTTTAGGGACCTGAAGAAATATGACGTGGTTTTGACTACCTTTGGAACGCTGTCTTCCGAACTCAAGCGTCGAGAAAAATACGATGAGCTACAGTCGTCTGGCGCGAACGAACAAACCCTGTCGAGGGAAATTGCCAAATCTTTACCGTGCCTTGGACCGGCCAGCAAGTGGTATCGTGTGATCATTGATGAAGCTCAGTGTATCAAGAACCGTAACACGAAAGCTGCCCTTGCCTGTTGTCGTCTTAATACCACATATCGCTGGTGTATGAGCGGAACTCCGATGATGAACAATGTCCAAGAGTTGCACTCACTATTGAGATTTCTCCGCATCAAGCCTTACAGCAATTTGGAGCGGTTCAATCACGACTTCACACGGCCCCTCAAGGGGTCCAGTGCTAGTGCACAGCGCAAAGCAATGAAACAACTCCAGGTTCTTCTGAAGGCGGTCCTCCTGCGACGAACTAAAGATTCCAAGATTGATGGGAAACCAATTCTACAACTCCCGCGACGGATTTCAGAAAAAGTGCATGCCGTGTTCAGTGAAGATGAACTAGAGTTATACAGTTCGCTCGAGGCTCGAACTCAACTCCAGTTCAACAAGTATCTCGAAGCAGGAACCGTGGGACGAAACTACTCCAATATTCTAGTTTTACTCCTCCGGCTACGACAGGCGTGCTGCCATCCCCATTTGATTACCGACTTTAGCGTCAAGCTCAACGCGAACACAGATGAACTGGATCTGATTGAGAACGCGAAAGAATTCAATCAGGAGGTTGTGATCCGCTTGAAAAGCAACAATGATGATCTCGAATGTCCCATCTGTATGGATGCCGTTGAAAACCCAATCATTTTCTTCCCTTGCGGGCATAGCACCTGTGCAGAGTGCTTCTCAAGGATTTCTGATCCGTCACTAGCTGTGAGGCAGGGTCACGACGGTGCCGTGGAAGTCAAGTGTCCTAACTGCCGTGGCAAAGTGGACCCGAAGAAGATTACAGATCATGTGTCGTTTAGAAAGGTCCATGACCCTGACCACTCCCATGATCCAATCGAAGAAGAGCCCGCCAAGCCTGCAGAAGAGCAAGATGAGAGTGATGATAGCGATGACGACGATAGCCTGAGTCGATTTATTGTTAATGATGAGGAGGGCGAGGAAAGCTCGGCCAAGAGGTCCAGGAACAAGGGAAAAGGTAAAATGGCCAAAGATAAGAAAACCCTTGCCGAACTAAAGAAAGAAGCGTCGAAAAATCAGAAATCGAAGCGCAAGTATCTCCGTCGGCTGGAGAAAACTTGGGTGTCGAGTGCTAAAATTGAAAAGGTCATGGAGATTCTGCGGGGTATCCAGGAGGGCGAGGAGAAGACAATCATTTTCAGTCAGTTCACGTCTCTACTTGACCTACTTGAGGTTCCGATTGTACGTCAGGGCTGGGGTTATCGGCGGTATGATGGTAGCATGAAGCCGGGAGACCGAAACTCAGCAGTACTGGATTTCACCGATAAGCCCGATTGCAAGATCATGCTGGTCTCCTTGAAAGCGGGCAACTCTGGCTTGAACCTCGTTGCCGCATCACAGGTTATTATCTTCGATCCATTCTGGAATCCATACATTGAAGAACAAGCGATCGACCGCGCGCATCGGATTGGACAGGTGCGAGAGGTACAGATTCATCGGATTCTTGTGCAGAACACCGTCGAAGACCGCATCCTTGAACTCCAGGATAAGAAACGAGAGCTAATTGAAGGAGCTTTGGACGAGAAGGCCTCCAAGAATATCTCCAGACTTGGAACCCGAGAGCTGGCGTACTTATTTGTAGGTGCTTCAAATTCAATTCCTCGTTTTAACCGAGTCGCCCCATGCTAACTTCATTTCTAGGGAGTCCATTAGGGAGGGGGTGGTTCATATTTTATCTCATCAGCATGGAGTTGGCGGATTTCTGAATTGAATTTTTAATTGGATTCGTATCCTCTAGAAGATACCCAAGATCTATTCACCCCTTAATTTCTCGCACCTGAATGCGATTGTGCTATGTCATACCATAGATTGTTGTTTTATTGAACAAAACCACACCTTACTCAAGTCCATCGAAGCTACTAAGAAGGGAGATATGTTATTTTCGGCGAATTTCTGAGTTAATCGCATTGAATCAAGATGGTCGTTCGAGGTGAAATTGAGATTTGGTGTCCTTCTTTTCGCCTTTTCTTTTTGGCCTTTCCTCTCGTTCATTTCATTTGTGGATGCATTTACCCCCCCCTGTGTTGATGGGAAGATAGAATGGGATGAAATGAAAAAAGACAGAAAGATAGAAAGAAAAGTCTTACTATAGTTAACTCCCGTATAACGTGAGCACGCGAGCAGCTCCCTTGTAAATATGTAGTATGGGACAGAGTACTCCGGAGTACATACGACTAGTAAATAGTAACCCTCTTTAGCCGGAAGATTCCTGGTCACAGTCGTTCGGGCTGCTTACCGCAATAGGCAATGTTGATCTTCATCTAGTTCATTTGTTTCTCTAGAATCATCGATCTGGTTATTGTTGGGGACTCAACCTCCCAGCCATAGATTTAACCAGTGGTCATCTCTCTTTGTAGGGTTCCAGCCCCTCTGTTTCGCGACGGTCTTTATCATCGAATTGCGGGGCTCTTGTGTCTTGTACATGTAACCATGTGGACGGAAGTGTAGATAGATTCTACCTAAGTATATAGTACTTTCATTCACTCAGCGCAATATCATTTGCAACTTGATCCTCTACATAGGGCCAGCACAGGCGAGATTGTAAGTCCGGGGCTTGTAAGAAGTATTCAAAATTGTAATATTTCCTATATGCCAGCATAAAACTTGGAGGATGATTCAGTGGAAACCAGGAATCACAGGAGTGAGATCCAGGAAAAAAGGGCTCTGTGAAAGCCTCGGTCCGTATGACAAGGCATGAAATCCCGCGACCGCCCTCCATTCACATGCCCACACCCCCCGAACACTCCGGGGAAGCTTGACGTTCCTGATTTTTTAAATCCCCAGACTCTTTCTATTTAAATCTTCCCTCTCTCTCTGTCTCTCCCTCTTTCCTGAGACACACGACTATTCCATCTATCCACTACCTTTCACTCACCCACTACTATATACATCCCTTCACAATCGTGGTATCACAACTGTAACCATGTCTCTCAAGAACGGTACGTCTCTCCCTGGGCATCTTTCACCCAACGACAAATATTCTATATTTCGGTAATCCCCGACTAACGATAACGTATTATCTAGACGCTTTCCCTTCCTCCGCTGCTTTCGATGCGATCAACGCCGCTCTCCAGAGCGACGCTGCTGAGCGCAAGGACGCTGTCGACAAGGCCAAGGCCATCGTCGCTTTCAACCTGAAGAACGAGAAGGGCCAGGAAGAGAGCTGGTACCTCGACCTCAAGGACAAGGGCGAGGTAGGCAAGGGTGCTCCTCAGGGGGGTAAAAAGGCTGATGGTTAGTGTCGCCCCGACGTCTTCCGCTGACTACCTTTATTTTGGTGATAAAGAAGCTGACTGTATCGCGTCGGTGATTAACAGTGACTCTGTCCCTCTCCGACTCTGACTTCGCTTCCCTGGTTAGCGGAAAGGCCAACGCCCAGAGACTCTTCATGGGAGGCAAGCTCAAGATCAAGGGTAACATCATGAAGGCGACCAAGATGGAGCCCGTGCTGAAGAAGGCCCAGGGCAAGGCCAAGCTATAGATACCCAGTTGCGTTGTGTCGTATTTCGGTTGAATGTACATTTTTGTTCGTCTTATGAATATTTTTCCTTTATCTTTTTCTTTTTCTTTTCCTATTTTCTCTTTTTGGTTTGTGTAGGGCAAGAAGCCACTTGTAAAGCCTACGCTCTTGCTTTATCTACAGAGCATACTTAGTATGAGACATGACCATTGCAGATCATTTTCTTTTGCCGTAATATATACTCCATAACACAATAGGCATGGTGTGGTAGGAGCACCAGTGGATAGGTACACTTTCTTCTGCATATTAATGTTTCTGGATACTACGAAGGTTGTAACCTCCTAACCTGTATACTTTGCCTTATGATTGTCGTTGTCAACTGATCAAAAATCGTTCGGATGTTAACAACTTAACATGGCAACACCCGGAATATATTTTATTGCGGATATCCGGACCCCATGTTGACATCATGATACATGACATCAAATCTTTGGACTTTTTTCAACCGGACTACCAATAAACACCCCTTGAAGATAATTATAAACTGAGGGTACATTTATTTATTGTCATCTATAAAGGTTGGTGCGATTGCGTACATACATACCTAGGTGTGTACATACTAGTTAGTAGTAGTCTGTATGTAACAGCTATGGTAAGCATTACAGGTTGTCTGTTTATTTAGTCAAAAATGAACACCAAAAGTGACCCCCCCAAAAGATCACCCCTCCGTCAAGGGTAGAAGCCGACATATACCAAGCATTGTAATCTGTTATTAATATTTATTGTTTATTTATTTCCTTGCATGATATTGCATTCTCTCGGGTGTTTCCCCATACTACTAGTAGTAGGAGTAGCCTGTCAACCTGCCAAGAGGGTCGTCTTGCATCCTCACGTGACTGTATTTTTTTTTCTATGGGCGACTTTCCCCGTCAAAAAAAGTCGCGAGCCTCTTGTGAAGACAAACCGAAACGAAGCTCGTTCGAGCCACGACTATCCCAATCCAAGGCAGAGTATATCAAAAGCAGGTATCTGCCCTTTTGATATCCTAGAGAGCGCTGTATTTATACCGCTCTGCCTCCTCATCCCTCCTCATCCTCCCCTAACTCCCATCCCGTTGCCTCGCGCTCGTCGCGATCGATCTCCGGGCACATACCCAGCGCGCAAGCTTCCCGGCTTCATCCCATCTCACTGAATCCGGGCAAGGACGTGACAGTTACTGGAATAATCGCCAGTAACCTAGAGAACGACGATAGAGAGGTCCTGTCATTTGCGTTTTCCGGTTCATCTCCCAAACACCTGTTCCCCCGGTCTCTCGGACTCGTGCGCCGGTCGCTTTCGATAATCGTCGTGACAACCGGCGCTGGATCCTCAGTTGGAACCAAGAGTAAAGCACTGGCTTCCCGGAAGAAGACCAACGCGATCAAGACGCCCACATTGTGGATGAGACATCCGAGTGAAGGGGCTTGAACAGAGGTCTAGGAAGGGGGCGAAGTCAACTATTTCTTGTTTGTCCGAGGCATTCAACGCCTAGACAGAGAGATTATTAATATAATAGATGTCGAAAAGATCGGCCCAGGGCCCTCAGGGGGACAAGGATTCCAATTTGTTTGATTTCAATATGAACAGCACACCAGATGAAAAGCCGCAGCGGGCAACCGCTGCGCAAATGGCGCAGAGAAGGTAAGTGGATGGACCTACGTTTGCGATCTGTCTTATACTGTTGGCCTTTACCCGCAACCTACCATGTGTCAAAGTGATTAATTTTATTCTATCTTTGTTTCATTGTGCCGCTTTGTCCTATTCAGCAATCGATTCAACATACCCTTGTCGTTGTAAATCGCATTGTGCTCTAACCCATCCATCCTCGATCCTTAAATTATTCCTTATGATTACTTCCCTTGTCTTTGCATATAACTCTGGCGACTATGGTGGATTTCTAACATTGAATAGGATCAAGGACGTTCGGAGGCGAGGTCGTCCCAACACAGCTGCCCCCAGTGCCACGGCATCTTTCGGTGGTCCTTTCAATTCTCTTGATCCTAATACTGTTTCTACACCGTCTGCCCCCCAGCCAATTTCAAATGGGTTTACATTTGGTCAGTCACAGAGCTTCCCCGGTGCCAGTTCAAATCCTAGTCAACCGACCCAAAACGGATCGACACCATTTTCTTTCGGTTCCGGTGGAAGTAACTCATCCTCATTCAATTTCTCTTCGTCGTTTGGTGGATCGGGGTCGACGGCAAGCAATCCTTTTGCTAGCATGACTACTGGCTCCACCAACCAATCGTCCGATGGAGGCAGTTTCTCTGGTTTCAAAGGAAACATGTTCAATATTCCCCCAGCTGGTAGTTCGACCCCAGCCCAGCAGTCTTTGCCTTCGGGAGGGCTCTTTGGAACAGGATCGCAACAGAACAACACTACCGGAGGCCTATTCGGCAGCAGTACGACCAATGGGTCCTCTGGGCAACCTGCAACGACAGCCCCGGCCACCACAGGCAGTATCTTTGGACAGAACAGTGCTTCCAGCAGTGCTCCGTCGGCAAATATCTTCAGCCAGTCGGCCTCAAATAAGCCCTCCCCATTCGGACAGTCAGCCGCCTTTGGCGAGTCTATGCAGACATCTCCTGACGCGAAGAACAACGGTGCGCAGTCGAAGCCGCCTATTTTTGGCGGTGGTGCTTCCCAGTCGGGTTTCGGAACGTCCACCACTTTCGCCAGCCCTGGGGCTGGCTCCTTGTTCGGTGGCTCTACATCGAAGCCTGCTGAGACACCCAAGCCACTTTTTGGTGCCAAGCCCACGGAGCAGTCAACTCCATCGACCTCGCTCTTTGGCGCGACTACTCAACCCAGTTCTACTCCTGCTCCCGCTTCATCTACCTCCGCAGCCTCCAGCACGACCGCCGCTCCATCACCGTCTATCTTCGGGGATCCATCGTCTGCTAAACCCGCCACATCATTCCAGAATCCCTTCCAGTCCACAAACCTTTTTGGCACTCCCGCTTCATCAACCGCAGCACCTGCTTTGGAGGATAAAGAAAAGCAAGAGAAGAAACCTGAGGAGGCTCAACCTAAGACTGGTTTCCAATTTACGGCCCCTCCCGGTGGCCCGTCTTTGTTCTCAAAGAGTGCAAGTTCTGCAGCTCCATCGGCTCCGTCAAGCGGTCTATTCCAGCCTCCATCTACAGGTAGTTTGTTTGCTCCCAAGCCATCTGCAGAGCAGAACACTTCCAGTGCGGAACAGGACAAACCTAAGGCTGCTGAAGGAAACCCATTTAGCAGCCTCTTCGCGCCAAAACCAGCTACCTCGGCCAAGCCAGCTGTAGAGCAGAAGACCTCCACGGAGCAGAAGCCCCTGCCCTCTTCGGCTAACGCTTTTGGTAACCTTTTCGCTCCAAAGCCTTCTACACCTAGCGAGGGATCGAAGATTAGTCAGCCACAGAAGCCGGCCGCTCCTGCACCGCTTTTCTCGGCTCCCACATCAGGACCTGATACTACTAAATCTTCTGGTCTTTTCGCGCAGTCGCCATTGTTCTCGGCTCCTACTGTAGGAAATAAGACCCAGGCTCCAGCTGTGAACCCCCCGGCCCCTTCTCAAAGCCCACTCAAAGTTAATGGCACAAGCACGGCCTCATCGGCCTCATCGGCTTCTGCTGTTGAAAAGAGTTCGACAACAAGCTTTGAAGACATCCGACCATCTGGACTCCCTGCTGATCTTGATAAGGCAAGCAAGGAAGAAGTGGAGATGTTGTATCGCATGCGCATGTTGAATGAATGTTTCAAACGCGAAGTAAATCGATTGGATCCTACTAGAGACGACTTTGATGCTCTCGTGCAGTTCTACATGCGTGTTCGTGACACAATTGGAGCGCCAGCTGGTCCCCAGAAGCGTAAAGCTGGAGATGAAAATGCATCTGCTGATGACCATTCCGTTAAAAAGGTCAAGCCCTTCGGCCTGAATGCTCCCTCTAACAAAGAAGAGTCTTCGCCCTCCCCAGCCACAACTGTGAATGCCTCAGCGACTACCAGCATCTTCGGAGCAAGCCAAGCGGCCCCGACCACCAGCAAGAGAAAGGTGACCGATGAGGATGAGAACACTGCTTCCCCAGGAAAGCGTGTCAACGGAGACTCCACGACGGCGAGCATCTTCGCACAGTCCTTCTCAAAATCCATAAATTCCGAGTCAAGCGATGAGCCGGCTAAGCCTAACTCTACTCAATCCGTCACTTCTTCCGCCAGGCCATCTACCCCGGACTCAGATAAACCTGCTTTGTTCTCCACTACGCCTATCTCTTCCCCCCCAAAGCCTCTTTTCGCAGCCTCGACCACGACAAAGGAAAGCTCCACGTCAACGTCACTGTTCTCGCAATCGGCCCCTTCCTTTAACCCAACATTTACTGCCTCTACTAACAGCACCTCTACTACCTCGAATCCGTTCGTCCTAAAGCCGCCAGGGGATAAGGAGGCTGGTTCTGCATCCGCCCCTATTCCTGGAATGCCAAAATTCGACGCCGGAGCAACAAACTTCTTTGCCCAGTTCAAGGCACAGGTAGATAAGGATGCTGAAAAAGAGAAGGAAAAGCGCAAGGCGGAGGATTTCGATTCCGAGGAAGAAGACGAGGCTGAATGGGAGAAACGAGACGCCGAAGAACGCCGGAAAAAGCGAGAGGCACTTGAGTCTCAAGCTACGAAACGCTCGAAATTTGTTCCTGGAAAAGGATTTGTTTTCGAAGACGACGAGGAGACAAGTGATTCAGATAAGGAGGGAAAGGCATCTGCTTCGGGTACTAGCGCCTCGGTCTTTGACAAGAAGACCGACTCATCAGCCACGCCCAACAACATCTTTGGTCATTTATCAGCAACACCGTCTGAGGCCGAGGAGAACGACGATGCCGATGACACTGAGGAAGCGTCTGCCGCCGGTGATGAGCCAGAGGATATGTCCAAGGATACATCCCTTGCGCCCGCAAGCGAAGACGAAAGCAACGAAGATGCGGAGTCCAAAGCGGGTGCTGGCAGTGGCGCTGAGAACTCTGCTAATGACAGCAGTGACGACGGTGATCTGACCAAGGCTCTGAAAAAGTCGAAGCAAGAGAAGACGGCTACAAGCGAGCAATCCGCCAGTGATACAGGCGCGAGTGGTCGTAGTTTGTTTGACCGTGTTGAGTACAAGCAAGATGGCAAGCCGAAGCGTCAGGACGATGAGGAACAAAAGCCCCTTTCTACGTTTTTCAACTCCTCTAAATATGCGTCCTCTTTCAATTCACCGGGAACGCCAAACCCATTTGCCCCGACTCCCTCTAAGTCTGATGCCGAGAAAGATGATACTTCCACCTCGAAGCCCGCAACGCCGAACCCCTTTGCTGGCCTGTTTGGTTCTCCCTCGCCCACCCCTGCTGCAGGCACCCCCCCATCTATATTCGCCCCAAGCGCCACGAAGGCCGGCACGGATAATACCTGGAAGATGAACTCTCCCATCAAGTTTGCCAGTGACACAAATGCGGCTTCTGCTTCGAAACTTAATTCCGCGACGCCGCCTGCTGATTCCTCCAAGCCATTCTCCACACTATTCGGAGCGGCACCTGCTACCAAGGCTGCATCTTCTGGTACTGGATCGCCATCGCCTGGCTTCACGTTCGGTGGACCTGCGCAAGCGCCATCATTCCTGGCTCCGTCGATAGTCAGCTCTGCTGCTGCCAGCCGCGCGTCCACTCCTGGAGTTACATCCGACACGGGAGCCGAGGAGTCGGGGGATGGTGATGCGGCCGAGGCTCTGCCTCAGGTTAACCTTGCGCAAAGTCGAGCCGGCGAGGAGAATGAAGATATTGTGATCGAGACTAGAGCACGTGGCTTGAAGTTCACCAAAGGTGCATGGGACAGTCAAGGAGTCGGGTTCCTCCGTGTGTTGAAGGATCGCACTACCTCTCGCGGCCGTGTTATCCTTAGAGCTGACCCGAGCGGCAAGATTGTCCTGAACGCATCCTTGATGAAGCAAATCGATTACACTGTCAATGGCAACAAAAGTGTGCACTTCCTTGTACCTCAGGCCGATGGTCCTCCGGAACAATGGGCAATCCGGGTTAAGGACACGGAAGCGGCGGAACGCCTGGGGACTGCAATGCAAGAAACCAAAACTTAGTTGGCAAAACTCCTCTGCTTACTGTGAACGAACGTGGCGCATTGGGTGCAATTGACCACCATCATGATGCTCTTCTTTCCAGGTTGATAATAACTGGTGATGAATTATGGCCTTTTTTACTTTATAGTTCCCCTTCCCGCCTGTCTTATAAAAGTAATTATTGGAACATCTTCAGGTTGAGACGCCGCATGCATGGCCTCCTGTTTCTTTTCTAGGTATCATGAACAAGTCCAATCTCTTACAGCGCCGAATTCTTTTTGTCCTCTTGTACTTCTGACGTTACGATTTCTGGGACCTGTCTTAGCAACACTTGCGCTTTTACTTCGATTTTGAGTTTTTTTTTTTTTTTTTTTTTTTTTTTTTTTTCTTTTTTTTTTTTTTTTGTTTGATCAATCTGAGGCACTTGTGTAACTATCTTGCATGCTGCAATTGCAACCGCATACTCGGAGAGCATCATGTCGTCTTCTGTCCAACCAGAAACGAAAGTCTAGCATAGCGTTTGGGTTTTGAGGGATCAATGGAATTCAATCGGTTTTTGTTATTTTAGAGACAATATACGACACCGCGCAATTTGCAAACAGTTGGTATCGCAACAAATCAACAGAGAATGGTAAACTTCACGTTTCCTGCCTTTCCTACCCTCACGGCCATCTCAACTGAGATAGAAAGTAGCCCACCTTCGAGGCTTGCTCTGACAAACAGACCGGAAATTGATTCCGGTCAGACCAGCTAGCTAGCCCCCAAATAAGATCTACTCCATACGCTAGTAGCGTGCATCCAACTGATTTCTAAATCAACCAGCAACCCACTCCCGAATACAAACAAGCCCACGCCCAATCCAGCAAGTTACTCACTTTGGAATTAGCTCACTAATTGATTCCCAAACACTCTATTTCAAGAGAAACTACCCGCAACAGAACGTAATAAAAACCCAGAAGAGAAATTTCATCCATGTTATAACCGGATCCATCCGTCCATCCTTAGTTGCTTATAGTGCCGTGAACGGGTCTACTGTTCTGGATACGTAGTACTATATCCCGTAGACTGGGCCCGCTGTTTTTAAAAGGGGTAATATGTCGTATGTTCTGGGAGTTTGGGATTTGGGCATGGCGGTGCTAGTTTGGGGGTTCGTATATGGTTTATTGCTTGGTGTGTGTTGAATAGATGGGTTGGTGGATCGGGGATATTGAATGATTTTGCTTTTCTTTTTACTTTTTTCTGTTTGGAAAAAGTTGGATGTTGTATGTGAGTTGGGTTCTAGTAATAAATTTGGGTAGTCGTGTGGGAGTGCATAACACTGTTAGGTAGTATAGTATGATAGTATGTCCATGCAAGTTTCCAATATACCTTTAGACAGAGTCTCTTCTGTATGTGGGAGAAAATCATATACGTGTGGCTCCATACACGTTTTGAGAGTGAGGGCTAGTGGAAGTTGATGTACGCTACGAAGACTCCAGAATCACGACAGGGAAAGAAACTTTTCCGATTTTTTTAATTTAAATGTTCCAACCCAACCGAGCAAGACCCGCCCCGGACGGTATCGTAAAAACAGAGAGAAACCCCATCATTTCATAGAGTAACAAAAGGTATATCTAATATGGAAATGAAGAAGATTTTCCCCGTTTACTCCTCGTCGACGACAGCGGTGTGGAGACCCTTGGTCTCCTTGACGTTGACGGCGTAGACCATGGAGTAGAGCTTCTCCTTGGCGTTCTCCTCGTCGTTACGCTTACGGGAGATGCGGACACGGAGACGGAAAGGAACGCCCTTGACACCGGCCTCCCAGACCTTCTTGTTCAACTGGGGGTCGATGCGGACATCCTTGGTGCCCTGTACCAAGTGCACATTGTCGTCAGTCACGGATACTCTTTTGGAACCAATCAGATCCTATAGGAAGAAAGAAGGGAACATACCATAGCACGCTCAGTGAAGGCCTTGATCTCCTTGATAGCACGAGGAGCACGCTTCTTGAAGGAAACACCGTGCAACTATACCCACAAAAAAGTTGAATTAGTCTTCCGCCCGAATGCCATCTGGGAAAATATGATCTTGAAAAAAATCTGCGAACAAGATTTGCGGCCATAGAGGTGGACTTCATAAAACTAATTCTTCTTTTTTGGTCTTGGTTTCTTGGGAACGCCTGATAATTGTTCCTCCACACACACGCAAAAGCAGGCATGTTTCATCCCTCCCTTTTTCTGTAGATGTATTCCAATCCACAGAGAAAAGGGTTTGGTGCCAGAAGGATTATTCCAGTGTTCTCCGTCCATTGCCTCCATGTCGAAACTTGAATGTTTGTCTTGTTCCGCAGATCGGGGTTCGATCGATGACAATGCGACCGATGTGTGCAAGGTAGGGATAGAAAAGACTTGAGTCTAATCCTGTTGTGTTTCAACGTACTCTCTTGTGCATGTTGATGGTGTACTCGCGCGAGACGACATCGGCGATGGCCGAGCGCTGCTTCTTGCCGGTCTGAACGGTGGTGGACATTTCTGATTTTTCACCCGTTGGTTAGTTGTCTCAAACCGATTGAGAATTACTTTAAACAGAGCGATAAATATCGCAATATAGACGGATTGCAGGAGGACTACTCACTGAAGGAGTTGACGAGGCGTCGGCTGTCGTTGGCTGAAAGTGCTGTCGTGAGATTGAAGATTTTCGGACGGCTCTCGTTTTTCCTCGTCGAAATTCAGTGTGTCTCGCTTATCGTCCCGGAGCCCCTCTCATTGGCTGCGGGACAATCACGTGATAGCATCTGGTTGCTTCAAGGAACAGGCAGGTCCTCACACTACTCAATGGCCAATGCTTTTCTTTATGAGATATTAATTAATCAGTTGACATGAAACAATATTGGTTTGCTATTCTTGAATATATCCTCTTCACCGGTTAACAATCAAGTTGCTGAGTAGGCACTTCAGAGGCCGAATACCACGTGATCCAAAGGTATAGACAGTCTGAAATGGGTATAGCGTAGATCATCCAGACTCAATACATTGCCCTAATTCGATAGGATGTTGTTATGGTCGATGCATCAGTGTATGCTTTGTGGCAACATTCCAATCACCCATCATGAAGCCATAAAATATTATCACCAGTGCAGATCGAGGACCCAGTTTAGCTACCGCACAGCAAATAGTAACCCACAAACTCATACCATCTACTCCATGGTGCTAACATCTTGTAGCACTATAATGAGATATGTAGTATCCTAGCTAGGAAAATATAGAAGTGAGCCCATTCGGGTGTAACGCAGTTTACCTCTTTTTCAGTATTTCAGGACCCGTGGGTAATGAGTCTCGCGCTGTTACCAGTTTTATCAAACTTTATACTAGGTTCGTCTAACCGTTATAAACACTGAATATCATGACTCGATTCGTCGTTATTTCTAAATACTTCATAATGATAGGCCTATTTCTCCGCGCTCACGTCGGGGTACAGGTCAAACCGCCTCTGCGTATAGACAGGAATCCCCTTCCTTGTGCTTTGAATGGTGTCATTATCCAGATCAGCATAGACAATAGTCTCTTTATCCTCCGCTTCTACTAGGACTTCCGCAGTTGGGTTGGCTATCAAACTGTGACCCCATGCGTGGTAAGTGGCATCCATATCGCGCGCTGGGCTACACAGCCCCACATACAGCTGGTTATCCACCGCACGAGCGCGTGCCAACAGAGACCAATGCATGGGACCAGTAGTCATGTTGAAAGCGCCCGGGTAGATGAGAGCGAAAGCGCCCTTTCGCGCAGCAATCATGGCCGCCTCCGGGAAACGGATATCGTAGCAGATGGCAAGGCCGATCTTTCCATAGTCGGGAAGGTCAACAATTGTTAACTGGTTTCCGGGCGAGAGGACCTCGCTCTCCTTGAATGTGATCTTTCCTGGAATATCAATGTCGAACAGATGGGTCTTGCGGTGGGTCCCTATTAACGAGCCAGTGGGGGAGAACACGAGGGAGGTGTTATAGTATTTCTTCGTTGTGGGTTCCAGTTCAGGGATGCTACCTCCTACGAGGTAGGCCTTGGCCTCGGCAGCGATGGCTGACAGTGCATGATAGGAAGGGGATTGATCTTCGGTAGGGGGCGAAGGGAGAAGAGTCTCGGCGTATTTGGGGAAGTATTGGGTTCCGTATGGTGAGTTGAAGCATTCTGGGAGGACGATGAGCTTGGCTCCAGCCTGTGCTGCCTCAAGGACCTTAGTGCGAGCGTGGGCCAAATTAACAGCTTTGTCTGCGCCTACTCCATCGCGCCGAACTTGCAGTTAGTACGGTGTTGATAAGGGGCCGTTTTTATGACGATCGTTTAGGACGAGTGAAACATACCCGAAGCGAGCTGCACCAGGGCTAATTTCAACGGTTGCTTCAATAGAGCGGCCATGGTTGCTCAGTCCGGTAATGACGGATGGAAATACGTAGATTGAGGGAGTGTCGAGGTCTGAAGAGGAAGTCTGTGCCAGCTGCGGGGGGGAGGTTGGTGTACAAGTTTAGGGTATAGATAGTGTCGGCGTTGGAGACTGTTGGAGTAATGACTTAAATGAGGAGACCCGCCACTATCACGACTACCTTAACTATCGGAGTCGGCGTCGGCGTCGGCACCCAACTCCGACGACCCCCGGGACACTAACCGAGTCGTTTGGAGTACGGAGTACTAGTCTATCGCATTCATTCCTCATTCGTCTTTTCCTCCAGTAACCTCAGCTGAAGGAGGTCTTGACATGTCGGTCTCATAAATGATACGTAGTTTATCACGATCATTTTAGTCTGACACATGCGCGCCTCGCATGGTTTCGATCCATCACAATTCTTTCGTGATCATGCAAATCACCGAACTCAGAGGCTGAGATTCACGATGGGATCGCATAAGAAACGAAATTAGTGTTTCATCTTAGGACAACCATTCGGATAACGCCGTAGGAACCGAGTAAGACCGCTTCGGGGGACAATATACACAGTAGGAGCACGAACTAATCCTTAGCGACGATGACTATGCAGCGCAGATTAATTTATTTCATGGGCTGAATACGGGGAATTGCAAACGCTGCAAACGGCTTTTGATTGGCCGGGGTCACGTGTGACGAGTCTGGCCGCAATCGATTTGGTGGAGGAAAAACCAATAACTTGGACTAAGTAACGTTGAAACCCCCTGAGAAAGAGACGCACTGATGTTCTGCTGGCTCTACCAAAGCGAGAAGGATATCACTTGAATAGGGGGGCGAAAATACCACTCTCGCGTGTTCTTTTTAACACGCCGCCTCCTACTTCTCCACATCATGACAATCCCACTGACTTATTCCATTCTATTATCGATTCCGGTCAACGTCTCTTGAACTTACGGCGGCGGCAGTTCGATAGCCAATTGAAAGTCGTTCAACGGCCTTTCCGCGCGGAACGTTAGGGACGTTCCCCACGAACTGTTCCATTCGATTTGCCCCCCAGTGGTTCGGTGGTTCCTATTCAGGAGAGAGCGTTAGGGAAAAAAAAATTAATTAAAAAAAGAAAACAAGAAAAATCTCGCAGATTGGCCACCGGGACTAGTGGCCTTATATCTGCCTGGAACGCTCTCCGGTGTCTTTCACACCCAACCCTATGTTCCCATCCGAGCGGCATTGATATACCACACTGTGGCCTGCCTTCAGTCAAGGCTACAACATTGAATGCTGGGAGAGACAATAGTCCCCACAAGTCACTGCGTCTGATCCTCGAATTAGCACTTGGCGCCCCAAATATATTCTCTTAGTGCCTTCGAGTCACCTTAGGACTACAGTATATCACAATGTTTGAAGACTTCTCTTTCTCATCCCCCTCGTCCACCAAGCCACCCCGCCTGGCGTTCGATGGGGATGACAATCTCATGGTCGACTGCGACAGCAGCCTGATCTCTCCTCTATCCTCCCGATGTCCTTCGCCTCGTTCCACCGCGACACACCGGATTCCGAGATCATTGCCTCGCTCGCGGTCCTCCTACTTCCGTTCCGCTCAGCCCCCCACCTCCGTTCCCTTCTCTGCGTATGACGACCATCAGAAGCGTCTCTCAATCAGCACCTTGACAAGAAAATTGCATGAACACACCATCAAGACCTCAAACAATGAGACGCAGATCGGCAGACCCGCCACCCCAACGTCGCCCCCGTCCGTCGACATGGCCGGCCGATTCCCGGGATATTTCTTGACCCCTCCAGACACAGACCACGATGACGAGGGTTCCTTGGACTCTCCATCGCTCACCTCGGGCTCTCTCTCGCCTCAGCCTCAGTCTCCCTTCCTGAGTCCAACATCCGTCCCATGTGATCTCTTTCCGCAAACCGCGGACATGGACCCTCTATCCCACGCTCAGGATAGTTGGAACGTTCGCGCCCAGCGCCAGAACATCTCCCGTCTCCAATGCAACCACTCCGAGTTAGAAGCCATTCGCCGGGCCCTCATCTCCGACGATGAGAAGCTGACTACCACATTCGACCCAGACGCCTGCCACCCCAGCTCTATCCCTCCGCAAAAGTCCCCCCGCCGAAGAGCGGCCACCCTCCAGCGGAGCCGGTTCCGCCCCCAGTTAGGCCCTAGCCTTTTGGACCCTCCCTCCTCCGACTCCAAGGGGCGGAGAATGAGCAGTGTCATCCCCGTACAGGCGTCTCGCATTGAGAAGAGCTACCATTCATCTTCGCGGGATCTGCGGAAGAAGAGTGAGCAGGGACTGAGACGCAAGAGTCTTGTCAGCGCTGCATTGGCGTCGATGGTGGAGAAGGAATGTTAAAAAAAAAACTCTTGTTTTCGGTCTATCTTCTGTTTGGGATCTTTTTTTCGGATGGATATATTTCACTTTCTCATCTTCTATTTCTTTTTTCTTTTCAATGTCGTTACTTGTACATATTGAGGTAGATACCCTGATTGTGTGATTCTTGGTTTGGTTAATATCGGCGGTATGGAGGTAAGGGTTCTGGTGAAAAGGTCCACAGCACAGTTGATTCGGTTTTACAGGCATAGACGAATAGAAAAATCAGGCTATTTCGGTCTTCCACATTCTATCCCATGATTAGAAGACATATACCACACTAAGACATAAATGGTAGGAAAAAAAGAAAAAAGATTCAACTGAAAGCCGTGCTTCCCAGAAGCACAAGCCAGAACAACAAGCCAGAAAAACTCAAGGTTAAAGACCGCTCACAGCAACGCTTATAACATTATCATCAACGGAGTCATAACCGCACGAATTTCACGAACAGCGAAAAAAAAAAAAAAAAAAAACCTACTACGCCTGCTTTCCTGTCTTCCTGCGAAACAACCCGTAGAGTTTCCGCAGGGGACTGGCGGTTGACCTCCGGGTTGGACGACGGTGGATTTTGATCTCGGTTCGTGGAGTCATGGTCTGTTCGTTTGAGGGGGGTTTGGTGGCTGGGTCTATACCAATATCGAATTGCCAGAGGGCGTCGTGGGGGATCATGGGGTGGTTATCGTCGTAGACTGGGTCTCCGGGCTCGCCGAGATCACTTTCGTTAGTTGGGCTAGTGCATTGTCTGGGGTTGGAGGCGAGATAGCGGGTCATGTTGAGGGTTGTTTCTTCGAGCAGCTCATTGATGGAGGGCATGAGGTGGTGGTGGAGGCCTTGGGTGTCGCCGATATCTAGTTGGGACTTTCGATTTTCGTCTTCGAAGGCTTCTTCCACGTGGGTTGGGGGGTCGAATGACCAAGGGTCCGATTCGATGATGACGGTATCTTCGGTGATTGAGATGTAGGAGTCCCTGTTGTGGCCTGTGGAGAAGCTGTCGACGTCTTCGATGTACGAGACGATGCGAGCAAAGTGGAGTGATTCATGGGGATTGAGGATCTCGAACGATGTACCTTGATGGATGATGGTTGTGGTGGGCTTCATTACGTTGAGGAGCACCGAGTCCGAGTACCGCTTTGTGTGACTATGGACAGATGCTGGGGGATTGCGTGGGACTGATTTGGGATCTGGGTCGGGATATCTCTCGAGTCGATCCCGGAACGTGTCCTGCATGTGCGTGTGGTTGTCAGATTAGCCACAAAAGTACCGTCTATAGGGCACGAGTGCGATGACAGCTTACCAGGATCGTATGGGGGGTTTGTTTGAGGCATACATGATCGTCTACGGAGCTGGGAGTCCCTGGGGCTAAATCCGCAAGTAAGCACTGGTCTACTGGAGATATATGGCGGTGATATCTCATACGGAGGAAGCCATCCAGGCTCTCAGGCTGCTCGCTCAAAGCGCTGGGTGAATGCGATGGGGATAATGGCGGCGGGCTTGACGCTGCCGATGAGACCGAGGTTGGGTACTCGTAGTGGTCGTCCAGAGACATCTGGGACTGGTTCAAGTTCAAGGCGGCGTTCTTTCGCCGTAGCTTTTTGATGTCCGGACTGTTGCTGGTAGCTGAGTCGCAACTTGACAGATACTGGCGGTATTCATGCAGAGAGCAATTCCCTGGCATACACATGACGTTCAAGGATGTTGACTGGGAAGAGGAATCCCGATCTCGCATTGGAGATGATGATGGTGATGAGGGAGGATAGTGGTGATGCGGTGAAGATGGATAGAGTTAGGTCCACCGTTTGGATCTCTCACACTGCAGCTTTTGAGATCTGTAGGCTAAATTCAATAGTCGATCGTCTTTGTTGACCTGTATAAAAGAAGAGAACGAAACAGGCGGTATGTCCCGTCTCTATACTGATACATTGGGAGACTGTCTGTGGCATTGCATAGCCCTCAATCTAGAGAGCTCAGTTGATGTTGGACAATGATGATATCAGCATCATTTGGGAGGCCTGGATCGGGACCCAAGGAAATCAATGGTCCGGGGGAAGTCTATTTATTTGATCGCTGAGTAGAGTTCGGGGGATATCCACTTGTCCAGGGACTGCGATCCTACACAATTTGATATAAAACAAATGAAATTGTAGTGCTGGGTAAAGGAAGAGAGAAAGAAAGAAAAAAAAAAGCAAAGAAATTTGCAAAAGAACTACAGAATTACAA